GCCATCCCACTCCCTTTATAAAGCCAACATAAAACTAAATTTCATAGGCACACCATAAAGCTGGATTGATTACAACTGTCCTTTTATACAAGTAACAATCCATTCTTCTTGACTTTCACAATGTGCATGATTCCTGTTCCCTCATTCTTAGTCCAAAGGCAGATATTGTGTAATATGGCTAAATTTCCATTCAGGAATTTGGTCTTAGGGAGAGAGGCTCCCCAGAGCAGTCATTCTTAAACTTAGCACACTAGAAACACATGGAAGCTTTTTAAAAAAGTCCAGGCTGGCCACCTGATTGATTAAGTTAGCATCTTTGGAGACAGGATATAGGCATTAGGAAATTTGAAAGCTCTACAGGTGATTCTAACATACAACTAACGTTAAGGGTCAATGCTCCAGAAGAACATCATTTACCTACCCTGAAATAAAACATGCCAGGGCAAGTAGTGCAACTTTTAGAAACAATGTGGCACAGGGGAAAAATTTAGCTTCAGATTAAAGAAACTGGATTCCCCAGGTTCCAGCATAAGAGCCTTTGGGCAAACTACTAAACTCTAATCTTCAGTTTCCTCATAACACAATAGAGACAAAAAACCCACCTGATAAAATAGGATAAAAGCAGAAACCATACAAAAAGTACTGGGCACAGTACCAACCACATAATTAATGTTCAATATTAACAGTTCCCTTTTTCTTCCTTTCCTTTCCTTCAAAGTACATGATGCCATGAATTTTTACACATTGCTTATCTTTACATTTAGAAAAGAGGTTTATTTCTTTACTATCTGTGCTTTCCTCCGGGCACTGCAATTTATCTATCACTCCTCAATGACTGGCACAGAGAAGGGACTCAATGTGTTTTTGTAAAATGAATATATGAGTTAGAGTATCAATGCTGCTTAATTTGTGTTCTTTTGAGGGTTCATATATTTAATAAAAAATTAGCCCAAAGCCAGAGAAATATACTCAAAAGCATTTTCATTTAAAAACAAGGTTAGCAAATACAACTGAATAAAACTAATCCCCCAAATTAGTTATTTTATTATATGGCCATGTCATTACTATGTTAATAGTTCAATTACCTTAAAGCCATAGTCCTGTGAAAAAATGTAGCCTAATATCTTATAAAATCTTATAACTTTTTTTTATAACTTTTTCTGCCCTGGTTTTAAAGAAGGAAAAATCAATGGGCCAATATGACAGATAGTTATTGTGATTCTTAGAAGTATTTTTGCTCATTAATAACTACAACCAATTTTATGACCAGGAAAAAAACAAAAGCAATGAAAGTTAATTAATGATAACAATGCTAAACTCTGTACTACCTGAAAGAAGTGACTGTGTCTTAAGATATACCTGAAACGTTTCACTGAGTCAGCTACTTGTTCGGGTGAAGTCATCCAATCAACATGATCAACTATTTTTCTGAAAGTAAAAAGATGTAAATAAGCAACCTCAAAATATAGAAGGTGAATAAAATAAACAAGACTTTCATGGAGTAAGCAGCTTAATATAAAAATAAATTATCTTTGAGAGCAACAGACTATATAATGATCTTAAGTAGCTGAGAGAGGAAATTCTCTTATAAAGGTTGAGCTATCTACTTCCAAAAGTAAAAGCTTTAAGATACTAAGATCAGACTGTAAGTGGTGGGGAAAAAAAGAGTGGTACCTATTAATAGTATCACCATATGTAGCTCTAATAAGTTGTTGAAGTAGATTTTTGATATTCCTTCGCAACCACTGATTTCTCTCTTTTAAGTCAAATACTTCATCCATGAGAAGCAGCATTACTCTAAGGGGAATATTGTCATCCACCTGACAAAATATGGAAAGAAATAACAATAAGTCTGAGTTATTTACTAGAAATGGCTACATTCACTGATTTTACATAATGCTTAGTACTATTTCACAAGTTAAAGAACAAGTTACACTATTATTGCCTTCACCACTTCATATTTCATTCTATTTAGAAAAATATATTTCTAATAGTCGTTTTGACAAAATATATAATTTTACAATCCTACAAGATGAGCAAATTTCAAGGCTATAGTTTAAAATACTTCTCAAACTAGATTTATGATTGTTTTAGAAAAACCTGGCTTAGCTCTTATTTTTAGTTGACACTATTAGTTTTTATATAAGTTAGACTCTTTGCCTATATTCTGATGCAGAGTCTTCATGAGAATAACATATCCTCAATATCTTTCTGTAAAGAACAAAACACAATCTACACAGAAAAATGTATTTTTCTTGTCTAGCAAATTGTATATATTTAGGTGTTTTCAGGAAAAAGAACCTGAAATTCAATCCAGCACACAACTAAATTAACATTACAACAGGCACATTTCACTAAACCACTAGAATTTTCTTTTAGCTTATAACAACCAAAAATTAGTATACTTTTATTATGGAAGTATTCAATCAATGAGGTAAAAAGTAAAGAAAGAGAACCAGAATGCTTTGATAGAAAAAAAAGGTATAAAGCAAAAAATAGGTACAGATTAAAGATACAATGGCAAGTAATTTTATAATTATTTCAAAATCTTTCCAATTACTTCCTCATTAATATTGTAATTTAATATTGAGGAAAAAGCAGAAGTTAATTTTTTTTTTAATGTCACGTTGTAAACATTTTCTTAGAACTCCTCCACTTTGCAACTGAAAATGTATAGCTTAACCAAACCAGGGGGGAGAGGGAGACCAATTTTATTAGTGAGGCAGGATAAACACTGCTCTATTCTCTGAGCATGGCAATTCTAAAACAGTTAAAATGTAAAAACCACATGCCATGGTGTTATGGCTATTAAACCATCAATATTCAATAAAACATTCTAAAATAATTTTGAGAGAGCAAAGCATTATTTCTGTTTAAGACAGTTCATTATAAACAAATTCAATCAGAAACTGAAAGGAGATATTACAACTTTAAAGTAAATCTAACCTGCTTCATACAACAAAAGACAGAGCCCCCAAACAGACCTAAACATACATGATAACCTGAATTATGATAGGTAAGAAACAGGACTGGAGAAAAGACAGCCTTTTCAGTACATCAACTAGATTGCTACTTCATTACACATATAAAATCCAGATAAATTGCAAATGTAAATATTAACATGGTAAACAAGAAAGGTTTTTCTTTTTCTTCAAATGTTCTTTATTAAATTTATTTTATTTTATTATTATTTTATTGTTTGGGGTTCATTGAGGGTACAAAGAATTAGACTAGAATGATTCAGCATTTGTTAGATAATGTTGCTCTTATAATTGTGTCCTGACCCCAAGAGGTGTGCCATACACTTTGACCCTCATGCCCCTCCCACCTCCCCTCTCCCCACTTGCTTATTTCCATACCCACCCCCCTTGTATTAGCTCATCTATGGCCTTCATATCAGAATTTAGTATATTGGATTCTTGCTTCTCCATTCTTGTGATGCTTTACTAAGACGAATGTATTGCACTTCCATTCAGGTTAATACAATCGATGTAAAGTCTCCATCCACAGCTTGTTGATCCATTCCTGGGTTGGACGGCATGTAGGCTGTTCCCACATTTTGGTGATTGTAAATTGAGCTTCAATAAACAGCCTAATGCAAATGTCCTTATGATAAAAGGATCTTTGTACTTCTGCACAGATGCCTATTAATGGGATTGCAAGATCAAATGGGAGGTCTGAGTTGAGTTCTTTGAGGATTCTCCATAGTTCCTTCCAAAAGGCTCGTATTACTTTGCAAGTGTTCCCTTCTCTACATCCATGCCAGCAGCTGCATCTTTGAAAGTTTGTGATTTGGGCCATGCTCACTGGGGTCAGGTGATAACCGAGGGTAGTTTCGATTTGTAATTCTCTGGTAATTAGGGACGATGAACATTTTCTCATGTTCGTCAGCCATTCGTCTGTCTTCTTTAGAGAAGGTTCGATTCATATTCATGTTTCTTGCCCAGTGATATATGGGATTATTGGGTCTTTTTTTGTTGACTGAGTTTTCCGTAGATCCCAGTTACCAAGCTTTTGTCTGATTCATAATATGCAAATATCTTTTCCCATTCTGAAGGTTGTCTGTTTGCTTTGGTTGTTGTTTCCTTAGCTGGACAGAAGCTTTGCAGTTTAATTAAGTCCCATTTGTTTCACTTTGTTGTTGTTGCGATTGCCACGGAAGTCTTCTTCATAAAATCTTTCCCCAGGCCAGTATCTTCAAGTGTTTTCCCCACACTTTCTTTGAGGATTTTTATTGTTCCATGCCTTAGATTTAAATCTTTTATCCATCTTGAATCAATTTTTGTGAGTGGTGAGAGGTGCGGGTCTGGTTTCAGTCTTTCACGTGTGGTTATCCAGTTCTCCCAGCACCATTTATTGAATAGGGAGTCTTTTCCCCAGTGTATGTTCTTGTTTGATTTATCAAATAGCAGGTGGCTATAAGAGGTTAGTTTCATCTTAGGGTTTTCTGTTCAGTTCCAAATGTCAGTGTCTCTATTTTTGTGCCAATATCATGCTGTTTTGAACACTATGGCCTTATAGTATAGCCGAAAGTCTGGTAGGGTGATTACCCCCCCCAGCCAGAATTGTTTTTAGTATTAAGAATTGCCTTGACTATATGGCTTTTTCTTTTTCGAGTTCCATACAGAAAGAAGACTTATTTTTTTCCAAGTCTTTAAAGTATGATGATGGTGTTGGGATTGCACAGAATCTGTAGATTGCTTTGGGAAATATAGACATTTTGACAATGTTGATTCTTCCCAGCCATGAGCATGTTCTTGCATTTGTTAATTAACTCTTGCAATTTTTTCTTATGGTTTCATAATTTTCTCTGTAGAGGGCTTTCTCTTGTTAGGTATGTTCCCAGGTATTTCTTTTTTTTTTTTTTCCTTAAGCTACTGCAAAGGGAATTATGTCCTTGATTAGCTTCTCATCTTGGCTGTTACTGGCATATACAAAGGCTACTGATTTGTGGACATTGATTTTATATCCTGAGACATTGCTGTATTGTTTTGTTTTTTTTAAATGTGGAACACTTCACAAATTTGTGCTTCATCTTTGCACAGGGGCCGTGCTAATCTTCTCAGTATCACTCCAATTTTAGTATATGTGCTGCCAAAGCAAGCACATACTGCTGTATTTTTTGATCACTTCCAGGAGTCTTCTTGTTGTGTCTTTGGAGTTCTCTAAGTATAAGATCCTATCGTTTGACCTCCTCTGCCCCCTATTTAATGGATGCCCTTTATTTCCTTCTCTTGCTGGACTGTGTTAACTAGAACTTCCAGCACCAGGTTGAATAGTAGTGGCAATACAGGATAACCTTGTCTGTTTCCAGGTCTAAGTGGAAAAGCTTTCAGTTTCACTCCATTCAGTATATTAGCTGTGGGTTTGTCATAGATGGCTTCAATCAGATTAAGAAATATGCCACCTATGCCTGTATTCTTAAGTGTTCTAATTAGAAAAGGATATTGAATTTTATTGAATGCATTTTCTACATCTATTGAGAGGATCATATGGCCTTTGTTTTTGCTTTGGTTGATGTGGTGAATCACATTTATAGACTTGCATATGTTAAACCAACCTTGCATCCCTGGGATGAAACCTACTTGATCGTGATGAATGATTTTTTTAATGTGTAGCTGTAATCTGCTGGCTAGGATTTTATTGCACCTCTATTCAGTAGTGAAATTGGTCTGAAATTCTTTTTATTTGGGTCTTTTCCTGGTTTTGGTATCAGGGTGATGTTTGCTTCATAGAACGAGTTTGGGAAAATTCCTTCCTTCTCAGTTTCTTGGAATAAATTCTGCAATATGGGTATAAGCTCTTCTTTGAAGGTTTGATAGAGTTCTGGTGTGAAGCCATCTGGACCAGGGCTTTTTTTTTGTTGTTGGGAGATTTTTTATTGTTTCTTCAATCTCAGTTCTTGAAATCGATCTGCTCAAGAGATTTGTTTCTTCCTGATGAAGTCTAGGGAGAGGCTGTGATTCTAGGTATTGATCCATTTCTTACACATTGTGAATTTCTGGGCAAAGAGTTTCTTGCAGTACTCAGAGATGATCTCTTGTATATCTGTGGCATCTGTTATTTTCTCTTATCGTTTCTGATTAAGGTTGTTACAGATTTACTTTTCTGTTTCTAGTTAATCTGGCCAAAGGTTTATCGATTTTATTTATTATTTTTGAAAAATTTTTTCTTTTATTGATTTTCTGAATGATTCTCTTGTTTTCAATGTCATTAATCTCTAATTTAATTTTACTTTTTCTTTTCTTCTGGGTTTGGGGTTAGACTGTTCTTCTTTTTCCATTTCCATAGGATGGTTCATGAGTTTGTTGATGTGCTCTCTTTCTGTTTTTTGAAAGTAGCCATGTAATGCAATCAATTTCCCTCTTAAGACTGCTTTTGCTGTATCTCGGAGGTTTTTGTAACTTGTGTCTTCACTGTTACTTTGTTTGAGGAATTTAATGATTTCTTCTTTTATCTCTTCCCGAACCAAACTATTACTCAGCATAAGATTATTTAATTTCCAAGTTTTTATGGGGGGATGAATGATTTTGTTGGAGTTGAGTTCCACCTTTATTGCCTCGTGGTCTGAGAAGATACCAGGTATGATTTCTATTCTTTTAATTTTGTTGAGGTTGGATTTGTGGTTGGTTTTGGAGTATGTTCTATGGACTGATGAGAAAAATGTATACTGGTGGTGCCCGTAGCTCAGCCAGCAGGGTGCTGACCACATATACCTAGGGTGATGGGTTCGAACACAGCCTGGGCCTGCTAAGCAACAATGACAACTGCAACCAAAAAATAGCCTGGCATTATGGTGGGCACCTGCAGTCCCAGCTACTTGGGAGGCTAAGGCAAGAAAATCACTTAAGCCCAACAGTTGGAGGTTGCTGTGAGCTGTGGTGCCATGGCACTCTATCCAGGGCAAACAGCTTGAGACTCTGTCTCAAAAAAAGAGAGAGAGAGAGAAAAAAAAATGCGTATTTCCCAGCTTAGCTTTGGGATGGTATGTTCTGTATATGTCTATTAATCCATTTGTTCTAGGGTCACATTTAAGTCCTTTGTATCTTTGTTTAGTTTCAAAAAAAAGGTTTTTCAAGAAAGTCACAGGATATCTTTGTGATCTTGTGGTACACAGACAACATATATAATACCAAAAAGCAACAGAGAATAAAATTTGCATGTCATATACCTGACAAGGGTATATATAATACAAACAAACAAGACAAAATATTTCATATTCAGATTACATAAACTACTCCTACTAATCAAATAGACAGTCAAGCCAACAGATAACCAAGCGAAAGATTCAGAAGGACACACAAGACATCCTTGTCCAGGTACAGTGGCTCATGCCTATAATCATAGCACTCTGGGAGGCCAAGGCAGGTGGACTGAGCTTCCAGCAAGAGTGGGCCCCTGTCTCTAAAAATAGTTGGGCATTGTGGTGGGCATCTCTAGTCCCCGCTATCTGGGAGGCTGATCTGAAAGGATCACTTGAACCCAAGAGTTTGAGGTTGCTGTGAGCTATGATGTCAGGGCACTCTGCCAAAGATGACAAACTGAGACTCTGTCTCAAAAGAAACAAACAAAAAAGACCTTCACATGGCTGATAGATACAAGAAAAAGCATTCGACATTTCAATAGTCATCAGAGAGATGTGAATCCACATGAAACATCTGCATTACAAGTAGAATGATTAAAATTAAAGATACAAAGTATTGAGTACTGGCAGGATGTAGAATATTGGAACTTTTCTGTACCAGGTGGCATTGTAAGGCATAGTTTGAAAAGCTGCTTGGCAACAGCAGCAGCTACTAAAACTGAACTTAAGCACATCCTATGATAATAATTTCATCCCAGGTACAGAATCAATGGTACTTATCAATGGTACTTTTTTTTTTCATAAAACATGCACTAGAATGTTCACAGAAGCACTATTCATAATATGTGCGCAACAAATAAATTCTGCTATATTTACAAAATGGAATACTATGAAGTCACAAGAATGAAAAAACTATAATCACACAAGATAGAAAAATGTCACAATGCTGAGCAAAAAAAGCCAGCCTTAAAGGTGTACATATCTTTCATTTATGGAATGTATAACACAGGGTGGAAATTATCCTTGGTGGGGATAAAGGAAGATGAAGAGAACATGAGGGGCTTTCTGGAGTACAGGTAATGTGCTGTTTTTTGATCAGAGTGCTGACTACACAGGTATGTTTAGTTGTAAGAATTCGTCAAGCTTCACACAGTTTGTGCACAATAATAATACATATACATATTCTACTTCATTAAAAAGTTAGAGATTTGCCAATTATGATTTAAATTACAACTGAATATTACCAAGAATGAAATTAACTCACATTATCATCAAGTTGAGCTGAAACTCGATAATGTTCAGGATCTGAATCAGTCTTCGGAATTAAAGGAGGCACCTAAAAAGAAAAAAAAAAGAAAAAAAAAACCCACAATGTCAACATACTAAAGCACACAGTGGAAGAACACAACATAATGATAAACTGAAATGAATATCAGCCTTTGATTTGATTGTTGGTACAATATATGAGCACGTTTAACAATCTAAAATTTGAGAGCAATTATAAAAGGGTTATTACTTCATTGCCAAAAGGTTTTTTCCTTTATAAAAAGGACTGACTTTTGAGTTGGGAGATAATTTAAAGCTCCCACACTTTTGCATACTTTTGAGAAGAATTTAACTCTAAGGATAATGACCTGAAGACCAAATAGGCACACACCCATATAATGATGTTTTGGTCAACAAGTAAGATCATATCATAATTTGATTATACCTTTTCTATGTTTAGGTAGGTTTAAATATATAAATTCTTAGCACTGTGTTATAATGCCTACAGTGTCCAGAACAGTAAAATGCTATGTAGAGTTCTGGGAGCAAGAGGCCATACCATACCAGCTATGTGTTTACCTACAGTAGGCTAAATCTCCGGGTTTGTTCAAGTATACTCTATAATGTTCATATGATGACTAAATTGCCTAAGGACACATTTCTTAAAACCTATCTATCACTGTTGTTAAGTGATACATGATTATAATTAGAAGCAGGGTCAGGGAACAGAACTCTAATTTTCTTTCTTTTACCATAAAAAGCATTTGATAGTATGATAATAGGTTTAAGGAATTAACCAATTGCCTGATACGTGATGTGGAGAGAAGAGCAGAAAAGTCCAGTGTTAGCTGAAAATCATTTGTAAACACTGGAAGAACCATAAAGATAACCTACTTTAACCCCCTCATATTATTGGTGTGGACAAGGAAACCTGGAAAAGTTCAGTGATTTTTGTAGAAAGTCATAGGAGAAATTAGCAGCAGCAGTGATGCTGAAAAATTCTCATTTCAATGTTAGAACACTTCATCACAATTAGAATAGCATTGACTTACTCACAGTGATCTCTTAAATTATAGGTAACCTATCTAAGTTTATATATATTTTCCTTTCATTCAAACATAATCAAATAGGAAATTCTAATAGTTCAGAGTTTTCTTTTACTGCTTGATTGTAACTTTAAATAACTCTGTCAAAATAATTTTTGCTTGTTTATGCAGAGACAGAGTTTTGCTATGTTGCCCAAGCTGGTCTAGAACTTCTGGGCTCAAGCAATCCTCCCTCCTTGGCCTCCCAAAGTGTTAGTATTACAGATAGAAGCCACCATGCCCAGCCTCAAAATGATTTCTAAAATGTAAATTAGGAATGCAACAAACTACATGGTTTAATACTTTTATCAGCTAATATACGGACAAAAGCTTCCTGGGAAACCCTTCTATGCTACTTAGAGGTAAACACCCAGTAATGTATGATCCCAGAGACTGACAGCAGTGAAAGACCTTTTCTTTTATCTGGTAATATTCACTCCATCATGTGAATCAGGAGTTATATAATACTTCATATTTTCTGAGTAAATATTAGTATAACTCACTTGAACAAACCACTTAGGTGTTTGCTACTGAATTTAATAGCATTTTAGGATTAAAAAAACACACAATGGAATAAAACAGTACAAAAAGAATGTTAACATTAGTAACTTAAAATATTTGCTTGAAATGAATTCTAAAAATGTATCATAGCAAAGACTGACAAGACTGGAT